TCTGTCCCATGAGCCCAACTCATTTGAACTGGGTTCTGACACTTGCTGTCATGGGATGTCTTGCATTGTTAGATGTGACCTTAGACTTTAAACTGTTTTAAAATCTTGGCCATAAAATAATTAATATTACACAAGCTGTGTAAAACCAACCTTTGTTTATATAATACATCAGAAGCAAACTTGTGAGGGTATATTAAGGCTTAATGTAATTTGGAACAGGTACATCAGCTTTTCTGAGTTACCACAAAGTATATAATATATAATACTCACCCAATTGTAGAATGTGGAAATGGATTCCCTGTTGGAAAAAGTGTATAAAGTGGCTAACTTGTAAATTAGAGCTTGAGACAATATTTTTAAAGCATTAACATTAGATATAGACTGTCATACTGTACTGTTCACATCTGTGCACAGAATGGTGCAGTTTTAGTAATCCAGAAATTGACTGGGTCATACACACTTCTCTAGGAGAGCCAATGGAAATGTGTGTGAATACTAACAAGATAATTTCTGTCTGCAGTTGGAATTCTCACCACAGACTTTGTGTTGCTATGGCAAACAGTTATGCACAATCCCTCGAGATGCCACTTACTATAGTTACCAGAACAGGTAAGTTAAATTGGTTACAGCATGCTTCATCAATCTATGGACAGAGGTGTGCCTGTATATGTATGTGTCATTCATTCATATATGTGTACCTTCATGCCACATTCTGAATTGCTGTAAACTTCTTGAACAGCTTACATTGTGTACAAGCAAGCTGCCATTCTGCAAAAAAAAAAAAGAAAAAAAAATTGTTGCGCCCTTTGCTCTTATTCCTTTATCTTAGAAAAACTTGTGGTGTTTGGTAGATTTTTGTCCTGTAGTTAGATTTTGTTTTCCATTCTATTATGCTGTAATAAATATATCGCCCTTTTTCCTTGCCAAACAGCACACATCAACAGTCTTTCAGCAGATAAGTTAGTAATTTTCTTTTGTGCAGTGAACTTCTGATAATATTCAGCAAGTAACTGGTCCTCTATGCTATTAAGAATTTTGTGATGAACATAGCTGTGTTGGCACATACTTCATTAATTATTCAAATCTCGCTGAGGGAAATGGTACTTTTCTCATAACAAGCCCCTTTGAGTGAATTGTTGCTTTTCTGTGGCTCTCAGCAACGATATAAAACAGTAACTTTCAGAACTCTCTTCCTGGCTAATATGTCTGACCTGCAGTTTATTAAAGGAATAAAATTTGACTCCTTGGGAAAGGGGGTTTTGCTAGATATTTCTGAATATTCTGCAAGAAAATTATGCTTAACATTCAGGGATGGCAGTGCTTGGTTTGTTACTATACACATCAGTCTGAACTGAGAGATGGAGATAATTTCCAATACTGCCACCTTATTCGCAGTATGGTTTTTGCTTTCTGTTCTCTGCTCTGGCACTTTCCAAAGACCTACATTCTCATCCTGAAGCCACAAGGTCTTTCAGAAGAGGAAGTGTGTTCAGCCTATAGGGAAGGAAAGAAACAATAAGAATCTACAGAACAGCAGTTGCATCCAGCCCTCTTTCACTGCAGAGGAGGGTTTTTTTTTAAGAGGTGGAGGTGGAGGAGTGGGGAAAAGAGGTCATAGTGCTCCATAAAAATAAATTTGAATCTTGATTTTTGTGCAAGAACATTTCATGCCAAGAGTTAAGTTTCTCCTCACGTGCTATCTATTGGTGAGCACTAAATAGACCAGAAGACTTACCCCAAAACTCACTTGCTTCCATGACTTCAGTATGGTTCACTTTTGACACTTAAATGTGTATGTAATATATAAAGTATGTGTGTCTGTGTGAATGAATGAAATAATAAAATGATTTGGCTTCCACCTGTAATGGAGGGGGCTCAGAATAAAGTGGCCTGTCACTTTAAGTTTACAGAATTTCTAGTGCTGATTTGTGTTGCTTTATAAAAACTGTCACAACTTGTTTGATTTTTCTTTGTTTTCTGTTTTTAGATGTTTTGTGCACTCCAATTAACATGCTTAGTAATGGAGAGACTGCGGTTTCAAAAAACTTTTGCGGGGTGGGAAACAGGTCTTGAATAAAACACTCTAGTTTCATTCAAATGCAAATAAACACCACGGAATGGTTTCATTTTGTTGATATCTAAACTATTCTGTTCCTCAAAATTGGGGTAGGTCAATACTGTGCAAATCTAGAGCAGTCTGAATGCAATTAAAGTTTTTACATACAATTTGACAAACCTAAAACACATCAATGGCAGCTATGAGGACTGATTACTGTCCTTTTAAATTGATGACAGTGAGAACCTGATAGCTTATAGCAAGCCATGGGGTGCACTTCAGTGGGGAGAGAATTCTATGGTCCTTCAGTCCTTGAGTATTTTTTTTAAGGTGAAAGATTCCCCCTTCCAGGCATCTCCTAGCAAATGCGTTTGCACACAGAATTGTTGTCCTGTTATGTCAGAGTAGCAGTGCTTCCTTCTACCCTCTTCCCTTTCCTCGTTTTGATTATTTGCTTTATATGGCATTGTTTATTAAAAATGAAGAGGGTGTGGGTATGCTAAAATGGAATACTCTTTTGTTTTATTTGCTATAATCATTTGCTGCTTGTGATCCCATTTGAATTTTAATGCTAATCTGTGCTTTGCCTTGGCTTTCTGCTTTGTGTTGTCTTGTCCTGCTTTTGTGTTTTTGTTTTTGTCCTACAAACCCCCATTTCTTTGTTTGTTTGTGTGTGGTTTTTTTATCTCTCCTTCATGCTTGTCGTTGTCTGCACTTGGCTTTGATTACAAAAAAAAAATCAAAAAACCAAACACAAACTGTGGGGCCCATAAATCTGCATCATTGAATATCCCTGTCGCCGCTGATGACCTGCTCTCTGCTCCCGCCCCCTCCTTGGCCTGCTGTGATTGGTGCCTCCGTTGCTTGGCTTGGGCTGTTGTGTGTGGACGGAACAGTTCACCCAAATATGGCCTTCTTGCTGACAGGTATCATTTCTGTGAGAAGTGCTTCAACGAAATCCAGGGGGAGAGCGTTTCTCTAGGGGATGACCCATCACAACCTCAAACGTGAGTAGCCATTTATTTGTTTGGGACATAGTTATTTATACATTTTTATTTTTCAGTAGTTGTGATCTATGGCGTGGTTAAATTGTACTCTTAAAGATTAGGGCATACCTGGGGAATAAAGGGGTTTTGCTTTAATCTTAGTTGGAGTTGGATCAAATAGTGAATGGGGGAGGGGAGAAATAGCACAAGAACTTGGACATTATCATAAGCATGGATGGGGAGTGGGACACGTGTCTTTCAAATCCTGGACTATATTATGGTAGGGGGGAAAGGAGTAATGACCTCTTACAAAACTTACTTTATACCATTAGGGAAGGAAAAGAACATGACTTTAAACAGAGCACAGGAAATATCTTCATGTGGAAATTGACGGTTTTTAGAAGGTAGGGTGCATAGTAAGCATAGATCTTATCTGAGTCTGTGCCCTTCTGCTTTTGGGAGGGTTTTTCTGTTCACTCTTCTGTCTTGTCCTCTGCCTAAAATTTCAAGTAAGACTAACTAATAACTCAGTTTTGCCATTCAAATTTAAGACATTTTATTGGAGCATCATCATATGTAAGATGCTGGTCTGTTGCTGATGGGCCAACACATAGGAGAGCTTGACATGGATTTAATTCTTTTCTATATTAATGGTGGTGGAAATGATTCTCTGACAACTGCTAGGAAATTATTCACTTCTCCACAGCTTGTAACAGAGAATTCCAGTGAGGAAGGAAGCCTATAAGACGGGCAGATAAGTGCAGGGGTGTTAGTTGGCATATGAGGATGGGTATTGGACTCCCCAAGAATACTCCTTGGGGAAAGAGGGAAAGCCTGAATCTGGGTTATTGGAAACTGAAGGATATAAGATGATGCCTTCAATTGGAAGCAAAAGTTGTCAGAAACAGGAAATGGTAAAATGTTGGTCACAGTAAATGACATGCTACTATCTAGAAGAGCTGCAGAGGGATTGTTTACACCTAGGATTTCTGTGGGAGCACTTGTCACTTCTCTTTGGAAAAAAGGGAAGAAATGGGTATTGTGACTTTGGTGTGCTAGTGAACATTTCTAATAGCATCCCTGTAATCAGTTATTACAGTTCATTAAGGTTAAACAGTTCTGTCATAATCTGAGCCCTATGGAACATATGAATTGCTGGTTGCCAATCAGCAATGTGTAAACCACTTTGCATATAAATTAGGCAAGTGAATAGCCCCGTTTGCAAGAATGTCAGGTGAAATGAAGAAAGGTGGCCCTCTGTAGTGAGTGCTGCTTACTTTTTGTACATATTTGGCAATATATTTACAAATATAAATAGTTAACAGTAAATGGTATTGAAATGTGTATGTAAAGTAGTAAAATGAAAATAATTCCTATTTGTTGGTGTACTGTCCCCCAATGTGGCTTCTTGCATAATGAATTCTAGAGTTTCCTCCTTCAAATGAGTCAAATTTTTGCCAAATGCAACCACCCCTTGTTTCATACTAATTTTGGGGCCTCTCTACCTATCTTCTCCTTCTCACAGCATGTTTTTAGAAGAAAAGGATTGGAAGATATTAACAAAATCATAACTTTTGATGTGTGATTGAGAAATAGCATGCAACTTCTGAGATAACAAATTATTAAATTTTATATAAATGTCATATTTGTGGGGAAGGATGGGTTGCATTCTGCAAAACCCTGGATGAACCCTGAAACAAAGTGTAGGAACAAGAAGCAGTCATGCAACTTGGAGTGAATCCCTGTTTTTTGTGAACATCAGTGCTTGCTTCTTTCCACATGTTCAGCCCCTCCAAATCACACAGCTCTACTTGGTTTTAGGTATTGATAGTTCAAAGCTGTTTAGTTTTTTGGGAAAGTGCTGGGAATGTTAATGTGTACACAGTTAACTGATAAGCCTGGGCCCTTCAGTTAACCCTCACATTTACACGCACCCCTCCTCTCTGCTGCCTCTATATCAGAGGCAGCTGGGGGGGGGGGGGGAGAGGGGGCGGAAACAGGAGCCAGCTCTCCATGTGCACCAGCTCCTGTGGAGCCATCTGACCTTCCCTCCCAGTACTGCTACCTCCCACAGAGGTGAGGAGCAGGTGGGAGACAGTGCTTGCGGGGAGCCAGCTCCCTGGCTGCCACCTACCTCTTGCCTCCTCTCCCATGTGTAACCACTGAAAATTTCATCAGTTACACATTTACAAAAATAAACATATTTTTAACACCCCTAGACAGTGTTACTGTGCCATAAACCACATCCCAGATATTCTTGTTTGGGACCCTATCACCAAGAAACTCATATGGGTGGAGGGATTTTTTTAAAATAGATAGGAAACAGCAATAATTAAGATTAAGTGAAAATGGTACAGCTGGGTACTAGAGCCAGGCTACAGTGGGAAGCAGAAGATTTTTTTTAAGTGTTACTCCAGGAGAAGACTATAACTGATCTGATTGTGTATGGAAGGGTTCTTGAGTAATCCAGATTATTTTAAGAATAGGGTTTTTCTTACATAGTAATAGCTTATATCAGTTAGTTCCTACAAGGATCTATGGAGAAATCTTCCATAGTGAAAAGATATGTTTCATAAATAACCCAAACCTAAATTCTAAAGCTTTTAAAAAGTTAAATATAAAACTGAGTCCCAAAGAGCTATATACCATTCTAGGGTGCACGTTTGGACTACTGGGCACATCTTATGTGATTGAAATCTACCTGAGACATACACTAATTTCATTTCTGGGAGGAACAAATATCTGTACAAGTCACTCTTCTGTAGAAGAGCATCCAGGCCACAATGCAAATCAAGAGCAAGCACATACTTTGTGCTCAACCATCTCATTATGAGCTCTTACTCCTTTCCTCACAGCATCTTAAATGCTGAAGAAATCCACTTATAGTGACACTGCCTGGGTCTGCTTGACATGTGGGAAATAAGTAAATTATGAATACTTATGTCACAACTAAGTTTTATCACCTGTCTTCTTCTCCTTAGTACAATAAACAAAGAACAGTTTTCTAAGAGGAAAAATGATACACTAGATCCTGAACTGTAAGTAATACTCTCGTAACTCAACTTACTACTATTTAAATCTATATCTCCCTTCTCCTCATTCACCTGCTGTGAAAAAAATCAAGTCCTTTACCACCAGCCATCACATTATTTCTTTTTAGTTTAATGTTGCTCCATAAATTGCCCAGCAGGGGCTGCTGTACAAGCACCAAGTTTTTGCATTCTGTCCTGAGATTTCAGGTCATCTCAGATCCGCTAAAGAAAATGTAATCCTGATGTTAAGGACTGCTGGAGTTGTGGAGCCCATTTCACTATTCTTGGATTCTGGTGTCTGATTAAAAAACTGTGTGCAGATAGCTGTGCTATTTGAAGCTCTTTCTTTTGGCATAGTGCAGGGGTGGCCAAACTTACCGACCCTCTGAGCTAAATATGACAATCTTGAGACGTTAGAGAGCCATGATACACGTTTGGGCCTCTGGGCTTCAGCTCTGAGGCACCTAATGAGGCTTGGGGCTTCTACCCTCTCCTGAAGTCCACAGCCGGTGCCCTAACCCTGTGGGGCTGAAGTCCGAGCCCCTCCTCCTCTTTGGGAAGCAGCCCCTACCCTACCACTGTCCTGCAAGGCACAGAGTCTGAGCCTCTGGTCTGGTAGGTGTAGGGGATGGACTCTGCAAGCCACGCGAATGGTAAGAGCCAAATGTGGCTCTCAAGTCATATTTTGGCCATCCCTGGTATAGTAAATGGAGAGGTTGAAATGAATTTAGATTTCTCTGCTGTTGGTTTCTGTAATCTTTCTACTGTACAAGCAGCTATAGCAGAAAAAGTATGTTTAAATTATATCTAATTGATTGCTATCTGGCCACCGCTAGAATAGCAATCTACTACTCTTACAACTCCTCAGTACTTTATAAATCACCTTTTAGCCCCTTAATCCAGTCCCTAATTCCACCACCCATATTGCAACTACTAAAATGTTTTAATTCCTAGTGAATAGGTAAGAGGGGCACATGCCTACTCTAGGATCAGTCTGTGTTGCTTTTCAGTTTGGCAAAGGACATAGAAAGAAAAGAATGGAAATAGGACTCCTGACCCTACTCTTTCCAGAACTGTTCCTTCCTAATGAGTCTTAATACACATTTATCATTGAAAAATTATGTAACTCTGCAATTAGTGTCATTGATTTAATGTGTTCTTCATGCTTATTTTCTGAAACCCAGGTTTGTTGAATGTATAGAATGTGGGAGAAAAATGCACCAGATCTGTGTGCTTCATAATGAAATAATCTGGCCATCTGGGTGAGTTTCTTGCTGTTTTTCCTCCATTTTTTGAATAGGTGACATATGATTGCTGTACAGGGGTTGATGTGTCTATACCACCATTTTGGTTATATTTTTATATATGTGAAATCCTGTGTCTAAAAGAACTCTATTCAATGGGAAACATTCCATTAGCTGAAAATAACCATTCCAATGTCGATATTGGATGAAGTCTTTAAAATATTCTGTATTTCTTACCGTTGATGGTCACTAGGATAACTCTGTAAAAGAACTTTTTGATATTGGTTCAGTGATGTTACGATTGTCCTTGATCAGGAGTGCTTATGTCATAATTACTAAATTACTGTTGCTTTATATTGATATTTTCCCCCTACCTTTTGGGATATGTGTTTGTGTAACAAACTTAAACATTTTTGGCATCACTGGTAGAATCAATCTGTAGACTGCATTTTCTTGACCCCAGATAGTGATCCTTTTACATCCTGAAAGGCAAAGCTCTTGAGGAGTGTTCCTGAAGGTGCTTCCACTGTGTTTCAGCACCCCTGTGGTTATAGTTGGATATTTTTAGCTGCAGTACCCTGGTTGCGCAGTGCCGTGTGTCTCACATTGTCAACTGGTCTCTCAGTTGCTTCTCTACTGCCTGGGGAAGGATCATTTACCACAAAAATGCCACCATTGTAAGAAGAATCAAGTTGACACTTCTGCAGCTTACCTGCCAGGACGACAACAGAACACTATCGCAGACCAACCAAGGAGGCATTTTCTTCAAAAATACAAATGGGAGATTGGCACACAGGTCACATATGCCAATCCTGGGGCTTTCCAGAAATAGACTTATTTGTGACACATCACCCTCTAAATGCTCCAAATACTATTCCAGAGCTGGTCTGAGGAAAAATTCCAAAGGTGATGCTCTCCTACTTAATAGGACATACCCACTCATGTATGCCTTTCCTTCCATTCCACTTCTCAACCAAGTCCTCCAGAAAATCTAACAAGGCCCAAGTAATTGTAATTGCACCCTCATGGCCAAGACAGATATGGTTTCCTTGCCTAGTTGCTCCTCTAGACTTCTGGAATTCCAGATCTTGTGTCTCAGGACTCAGGCTGCGTACTTCACCCAGGCATACAGTGGCTGCACCTCAAAGCCTGGTTGCTGAAGGGTTAATGGCATCAGATTTAACCTATTCAGCAGAGGTCGAACAAGAATTTCTAGTGAACATTCTCCCATAGGTGGCCATACAGTCTTTTGCACACCTAAGTATGAAAAGATTTTTTAAAAGGACTAAACAATGCCTTCCCTTCTCTGAAACAACCATCTCCTTGGTGAGACCTGAATCGTGTCCTGAGAACCGTGACAGGGAAACTATTTGAACCCCTGGTCTTGTCCTGAGAACCGTGACAGGGAAACTATTTGAACCCCTGGACACATTCTCATTGTTATACTTATTAATGAAATTTACTTTCCTATTTGCTGTTACCATGCCTAGAAGAGTCAGTGAAATTGTTGCGTTCGTGGCTGATCCTCCCTATACGATTTTCTGTAAAGATAAAGTAAACATCAGACCCCACCCGAAATTCTTTCCCATGGTGTCATTCCATATTAGTGAACCATTTTTATGGTTACTCTCTTCAATGAGACTTTCTAAATCGAGTGCTTCTTGCATCAAACTGTTACTCATTGTACAGCATCCTTGTTCCCGATCTTGTCTGTATCTGTAAGTAAAACTCTCTCTACCAGAGCAGGGTCCACATTCATTGCATTTCTACAGAACGTTCCAGTTACAGACATTTGCAAAGTTGCCATATGGTTTTTGGTGCGTGCGTTTACCAAACATTACGCATTAGACAAATATGCTCTTTAGAACACACACTTTGGCCTAGCTGTACTCTCTGTGGCCCGCACTGAACATCCAAAGCCTCCCCTTCGAAGCACTCAGGGTACTGCTCCTTAGTCACTTAGTGGCGCGTCACAGGGACACTCCTCGAAGAAGAAAAGGCAATTATTCACCTTGTGCAGTAACTGATGTTCAAGATGGCAATCCCTGTGTGTGCTCCATGACCCTTCCTCTGCCTCTCTGCTTCGGAGTCTTAACATTTCTTCAAGGTAGAGAAGGAGCAGAGGGACAGTTGACAGCGCGCATGCTTGCGCAATCACTACGCAGCAAAACTGCACTGCGCTTGTGCGTCAGCACCTAAGGTACTGCTGCTAAAAATATACAACTAAGTGCAGGGACTCCAAAACACCTACAGTGGAACACTCACAGGGGCAGTCATCTAGAAGAATATCAGTTTTTGCACAAGGTGAGTAACCAACTTATCTAAAGCACCATTTTTATCTTGGCTGGACTTGCAAGTACAAGAGACTTTAGGAAACTTAAACTCTGTTACTATTTCCTAGTTATAATAATTAAGATGATAAATGATCAGTTACAATTCTGCTGTAAGTAAATTTCTGTATAAAGAACTAAAGTATTCGGTGATGATTATACAATTTTGGGATTTGCTGTTTTATTACTCCTGTTCCTTTTTTTCTTCCTCTTTTCTTCAAGATTGGTTGCCCCTTATCTGCTTGGGGAAGAATTTTGGGGTTGTCTGGAATCTTTGTATTAGGATAATAGTTTTCTATATCAAAGCAGACTGTTAGTTCTTCTAGCCAAGATCCTGTCTCCATCAGTGGTATTACCTGAGGTCTCAGAAAAATAAACCCATATTGTAAAGATAAGCTGTGTTCATGCCCTATTCATTCACTTACTCCTATTCTGCCTTGAAAAGCTATAATATAATATTTTCTTCCGCTATTTGAGCTAAGGAAGTTGGTCTGGCCCACGAAAGCTCATCACCTAATAAACCATCTTGTTAGTCTTTAAAGTGCTACATAGTCCTGTATAATATTAAGATGACAGTAACTTTCTCTTGGAGTTGCTTGCCACTCTTCTTCCTGTCCTCAGTTTTATCCAAAAACTGCAGTTATTGTTCCCTAATCTTTTACATCTGGTAGAATGCTTTGTTCCTGCTGTTTCAAACCTGTGTCATGAATCTTACTATGAGTACCTTTTTCTTGTTTCCACTTCAGCTTTGTGTGTGATGGCTGCTTAAAGAAAACAGGACGAACCAGAAAAGAGAACAAATTCTCTGCTAAAAGTAAGTCCTCCTGATATTTGGTTAGAGAACATTTCAGGTGTATTAACTAAGCTCTTAACAAAGTATTGGGTGGAGAGGGAAAACTTTCCTGTTCTTGTATTTTTTAAGCATTTTACACTTGAATTCTGAGGTTCCATATGTGTTTTGGGATAGAGATAGGAAGATAACTTAATCTATTTCACCTGCTTATTCAAAATCATACATCCAGCATTCTGATGTATTGATTTAGAGATTAATGTGACATACGGAGCCTTTTACCTTGATCAATAATATTACTATTGTGACATAGCGGGGGTGCTGTCTGCTTTTCTGATCGTATGCTGGCAGGGACTCCGGGAGTGTCTGTGCAGGGCCCAGCAGGGGATGGGGGTTTCCTGAGCCAAGACATGTAGACAATGGCCCAGCAGCTTCACACCTGGCCTGGGGAAGGAGTTTGAAGAAAGGGGTATGGCTGCCTGGGGGGAGTGTGACACCGGTGGCTGGGAGAAGCATGAAGAGAGCAGACTAAGTCCAGGACAAGGGAGTTCAGGGGACTGTGAACCCCTTCCTCCCAAGAGAACTAAGGCTGTCTGCCCTGGCTCCTATGTCAACATCAAGCGTATGCTGTGCTGTATCTCTGAGAACCAATAAAACCTCCTACTCTACTGGCTGGCTGAGTCACATCTGCCTGCGGATGAAGGTGCAGGGTTAGGGGGCTCCCTGATGTGCCGACACTAGTATTGGGGAATGGCCACTATGATTGCTGTCTTGCTTAAATGAAATATGTGTGCAAAGACTATACATTCAAATCATTCCCACAGCTGGGCATCTCTAAGTCTTGGCAGAGCAGGCAGTTTGGCTTGGCCACAGAAACAAAACTGTTGTTTCTCACTACTAGAGGTGACTACTTCTTGGTTAGGATTGATATCGTGAAGTCAATATGTGGAAAACTTCTCTACTCCCATTGTCTGTCTTGTAGACAATGGGATGATTTTGAAAGCCTTTCAGTTTAACATCTTTCATTCCGCTTTAAATTACATTGAAAAGTTGAGTAAATAGTTGCCCATATTTATAAAAACAGCCCAAACAAAACTTGACTACCACTGGGGTGTTAGTAATTGCATAGTATTCATGTTTTATCTTTGTAATGACCTTTTCTGACACAGAGCAAGAAGGAGATCCTCATGTTTTATCTTTGTAGTGACCTTTTCTGACACAGAGCAAGAAGGAGATTTAGAGAATAAAATTGTTTTGAAATGTCAAAAAAATGATTAGGTTTCCATCTTAGCCATTCTGGAACTGTTCTCTTCAACTGCATTCTTGTGAAATGGAAACATAATTTAGTTGAGACTAATTCTTCAAGCTAGACCATATGGGTGCTTTTTTCATAATCCAAGCATCCTGAATTCATTAAGAAAATTGTGAGGACTAGGTGGGCTCCTTCCCATTTTGTTCAATTAGCTTGGGCTTCCAGTTACTTGTATGCAAATTTTACCTGTGATACTATCATACTTGGATTTGCAGGAATGTGCCAAATATGAAAGTTGGAGGGTGCAGACAGACTATTAATATTACAGCGAGGCTCCAATGAGATTGGCTCCTCCCTGTGCTAGGATTCTTAAAAGGACTTCCAGTTCCAGGTATTCTATCAGATACCTGTATACTTGCTCTCCCTTTTTTCAGGTTTAGTTTGAAAATAGACAATTGTAATTCTTGTGGATATAAATGGATTAGTTCTAGCGAACATAAATGGAATACGTCTATTAACTATGGGTTTTATTTTTTTTAAATTGGGTAAATTTGTTTTCAAGAGAAATTACGATATTGACAGAAATTACTAGACATGACAGTATAGGCAGCCTGAAACTTCCACATGCAACACCACCTACTTACTCTAGTCTTGGGTCCATCCTTCCAGTGCCTTTGTTCATAATCTAATACAGGAGTGGAGAAATAGAAATTAAATTTCTGGTTATGTGTATGTTAAGAGTTTCATTTTTTGTATAGGGTTGCCATCTACAAGGCTGGGTACCTTCTTGGAGAACAGAGTGAACGACTTTCTGAGAAGACAGAATCATCCTGAATCAGGAGAAGTCACAGTTAGGGTGGTTCATGCCTCTGACAAAACTGTAGAAGTAAAACCTGGAATGAAAGCAAGGTACAGCCCTTCAAGTCCTAATATTGTCTACTCCCAGCATCCTTCTAAAAGATAGGTGTTTACGTTTTCTACATTTGCTGCTATTTGGCAATTGCAAAGTGTGTGTCTAGTGTTCAGAACACCATCAACAGAGCTTTCCTGATTGGCTGTCAGTGATGTCACTCCCACTTTTTTGCATGAAGTATATTAAAATTCTGGAGATTAAAACTAAACAATTTTAAATAAACTCTTCCATTACATTGTAGCTTTTCATTTTTTGTATTTATTGCTTTCTAGTTTTTTCCTTTTATGTAAACACTAAAATCCTTCCACTCTAGAAAGATCGAGATGAAGAGTGAACAAACTTTCAGGATAACTTGAGATACTTTTCTTTCTCTGGAATATAGTTGTCAGTGTTTGCTTTCCTATTGCCTGTGACAAGTGAATCTGACTGTGCATTACAAATTCTGTCTTAATTACTATCTTTATGTATCATCATGTTACGTTCTCTGTCCTGATGGAATCAAAGTATTTATTACTCTCTTTATTTTATGATATCTGCAGGTTTGTAGACAGTGGAGAGATGGCAGAGTCCTTCCCTTATCGAACAAAAGCCCTATTTGCTTTTGAGGAAATCGATGGGGTAGACTTGTGCTTCTTTGGCATGCATGTACAGGAGTACGGCTCAGATTGCCCCCCGCCCAATCAGAGGTGAGGAACTGTAGTGGCAATCAAGGGAGGTGAATTTTTTCTCAGTGGGATAAATCTGTTACTTTAGAATGTTCACTTTTAGTGCAGCTTATAATTAACTTTAGTTATTCGTACTAGTATATCCCAACATAAAACAGCTACAGCAATAAGAATGTGATAGTAAGAGGGGCTGAAAACAAGTAGGGGACAGAATAGGCATCTGGTTGTGGTGTTCCAGCAGTAGGAAGTAGATGGATTTTGGGATCTCATTTGTAAAGAAACAAGAAGTCAGTGAGGGAAAAGGCTGTTCTAGATAGGGGAGATGAGATTTTGCAGACCAGAAGTGATGTAAAGGAAGATGAGTTCCTGGAAATAGATGGGACTAGTAGCCTTTGAATATAGTGGCTTGTGCATTAGGTACTTTAGGGACAGAAATTACCATGGACGAGGGTATATAAGTGCTGTGAATACTTCTGGCCTTCTGTTCTATAGTGTCATTTATTTTTTTTCCCCTGTCTTTGCCTAGGCGAGTATACATATCTTACCTCGACAGTGTTCATTTCTTCCGTCCTAAATGCTTGAGGACTGCTGTCTATCATGAAATACTAATTGGATACCTAGAATATGTCAAGAAATTAGGGTAAGTCTTTAATCCTTCTTCCTATTTTATAGGTTCCAGTAGTGTGCTAGGCACTTCACAGTGCAGATGAAATATGGACCTTACCTTGAAAACAATGCCATATAATTTCAATCAGTGACACAATGGAAGGTGCGATAAAACAAAAGCAAATAGATGTAGTAAGAAGATGGGGATTTTGACACTGCAGAGAGATTAGTTTCTCAGCAGAGACTTGTGGAATAGTTTTTTTTAAAAGCGTAAAAGACCTTGGAAGCAGGCTCAGTGTATTCTGTGATGTTCCCACTATGGAATTTCCTTATCCCGGTTTCTATAAAACTGCTATATGGAGTTCTGTTCATATCTTCACTTACTACTGTTTTCTGTGCTTATGGTTGATGTCAGGTACTCATTTTGAGATTATAATATTGTCAGGTAACCGCTTTCCTGGCATGAAGGGGAGAATTGCTGCTAATTAAGATTCTTAAGGCTTATCTTCACTACTATGCTAAATTGACACCTCTACGATTGATGCATGCTGTCCTATCAATATAATTTAATTCACTTGGCAGATATGGAAGTTATGTTGGTGGAAGAGAGTCTCCTTTTGACATAGCTTAGTATAGGGACTGCCTTAAGTTGTAAGTTTATATCACAACAGGGGAGGAGGGAGCTTTTCACATCCTTGAGCTACATAACTTGCGTTGACTTATGTGGTAGTGTAGACAAGGCTCTAGAGAGGGATGGGGGATCTGCAGAGCCTGTTTTCAGTGAAGCAAGGGAACATATTGTTGATTCTTCTTCCACCATTTTTGGGAATCATTCAAATTACCAATAGATGGAAAGGAATTTAAGGCAAATGTAGCTGTGTGGTCCTCTAGCATTACACAGTTACTACTGTCTAGATAATTTCAGACTTCATGGTACTGAAACACATGCTCCCTAGGAGCTACAGAGGAAATACATTTGGAGAATTCTCAGGTAATGAGGTGTTTCCTTCCATTAATTGGCCTTGAAGACAGAGGAAAAGGAGTCAATAGTGGGAAAGCCAAATAGGTTTCAGAAGACAAGGTAGCTTTTTGAAACTCATCTGGTGGTAAGCAGCTGATCTGTCTTGTTGAAGAAGGAAAATCATGGCTCTTGGTGCTGAAATGTGTCCTTTTGCTCTGAGAATTCACTTGCTTCTCATCTAATTGTAATGCAGTTGGTAGATAACTGTTACAAGTATATATCAGGCATCTGTGATTTTACCTGTAGATTAGAAAAAATGCTTTATCTCCAGTATTGTTGTTTTTATTGCTGCACAGAGTAGGGCTGTGCTTTAATTACTAAAAATATACATGCCCATATTGTATGCATGTACCAACCAGAATACAACTCAACATTTTTACTAATGGAATCCATTCCTTAAATATAGCTATAGCTATAGAGGTTAGATGAGGAAGAGAATTGCAGTAGTTGTCATCTTGTAATACCAGCAGACTTTGTACTGGCTCCACCTTGTGGCTGAAAAGAATAGAAAATGCTAGTGATAAACAACAGCATCCTAATGTATTCATATTTTTTACAATGCTAGATACACAACTGGACATATCTGGGCCTGCCCACCTAGTGAAGGAGATGACTATATTTTCCATTGCCATCCTCCTGACCAGAAGATACCTAAGCCCAAGCGACTGCAAGAATGGTATAAAAAGATGTTGGACAAATCAGTGTCGGAACGCATTGTCCATGACTATAAGGTTGGTTAAATATAAATTAGATGCAGTAGGATTTCATGAGCGAACTGACTTGGTTCTCTTCCCACCACTTGTCCTCCAATGTGGGATTATTCACAGACATTTGTAAAGCATTAACTTGTGTTTTAGAATGGATTGAATACTTAGCAATATGGGATTAAAATATATAAATTAAAATATATAAATTCTATCTAAACCATACCGTTTTTTTCTTGTGGGGGACTAAATGTCTGTCTGAATCATTAGCCCAAACTGTCCATAATAGAACCACCACTAAATGTGTCTTAGCTGTTTTGGATGCTCTCTTCTCTCAGTGCTTTTTTGTTGCCTCTGAGAAGTGTGCGCCCTGGTACATTGGCTTAGTTATAATAGCTGTAACAAAGTTTGTATGTCTTTGTAGGATATTTTTAAGCAGGCAACAGAAGATCGTCTCACAAGTGCAAAAGAGCTGCCTTACTTTGAAGGGGACTTCTGGCCCAATGTGCTGGAGGAGAGCATTAAGGAACTAGAACAAGAGGAGGAAGAACGGAAGAGAGAAGAGAATACTAGTAATGAGAGCACTGATGTAAGGAGACTCCTTTTACCTAATTCTTCATGATGCTTCATCTTTTCTTCTATCTCTGCTTAGTTTCCGTAGGTCCCTGGTGCAGAATTAAATATTAAAGTTTAAAGCTTCCTCTTGGGGATGATAAAAGCTCTTTTGAGGTTTATCTAAAATGCATGTTTATTTTGACACTCAGCTCTCCCAACTTCCCAGATGTTGCTCATTTTCCTCTCCTATGTCCCTACCTGTAATTCAAATTCTTGTTGTCATTCTACTTAATTGGGGGCCAGAAAATCATTGTATGGGAGTCTTGGAAACCATTCTCAGCCAGCTCATCTTAAGATTCAGGTGGACTTTAGCTTTGTTTTGGCTTAATTGCTATGAGTGTGCTGTATAGTGCAAAAGGAGCTTAATAGTGAATCCATGACTGACATTTTTCATAGATTGCAAGGCCAGAAGGGATGACTTATCATCTAGTCTGACTTCCTATATAACCCAGGCCATAGAATTTCCCTAATATAATTCCTAGAGCGGATCTTTTATAAAAAATATTCCATCTTGATTTAAAAATTGTCAGTGATGGAGAATTGACCACAATTCTTGATAAATTGTTCCAATAGTTAGTTAATTATTCTGGCTGTTAAAAATTTATACCTTGTTTCAAGTCTGAATTTGTCTGGCTTCAACTTTGAGCCATTGGAACATGTTATACTTTCCTGTATGAGAGTGAAGAGCCATTATTAAATATTCCCCATGTAAATACTTACAGAGTGTAACAAGTTACCCCTTAATTTTTTCTTTAAGCTAAATAGATTGAGCTTCTTGAGTCACTATGTAAGGCATGTTTTCTAATCCTTTAATCATTCTTGTGGCTCTTCTCTGAACCCTCTCCAATTTATCAAGATTCTTCTTGAATTATGGACACCAGAACTGGACACAGTATTCCAGCAGCAGTCGCACCCAGTGCCAAATACAGAGGTAAAATAACCTCTCTACTCTACTCAAGATTCCCTTGTTTATGCATCCCAGAGTTGCATTTGTTCCTTTGGCTGCAGCGTTGCACTGGGAGCTCATGTTCATTATCCACCGCAACCCTCAAATCTTTTTCAGTCATTGCTTCACAGAATAAAGTCCCCAATCCATTCTTTGTTCCTAGATGTATACATTTAGCCATATTAAAATGCGTATTGTTTGCTTGTGCCCAGTTTGCCAAGTGATCCAGATTGCTCTGAATCAGTAACTTGTTCCCAGTATTTGTCATCTGCAAATTTTATCCGTGGTGATTTCATTTTTTCTTCCAGGTCATTGATAAAAATGTTAAATTTCATAGAGCCAAGAACAGTTCTTGCAGGTCCTCCTGGAAATGTTCCTGCTGGATTATGATTACCCGCTTCGTTATATTTGGAGACCTATCACTTAGCCAGTTTTTAATCCATGTAATGTGTGCCATGTTGTTATAGTTTTGCAATCAAAATGTTATGTTACAAAGTCAAATGCTTTGCAAAAGTTAGTTTCTTATCTCAACACTTATACCCCTTTGTCAATCAAATTTGTAATCTTAATTTTAAAAAATACCAAGTTTAACAGGATCTGTTTTTATAAACCCATGTTGAATTACATTTATTACATTGTCCCCCTTCAATTCTTTATTGACTCCAGTATCAATCACTCCATTATCTTGCCTGGGATTGATGTCAGTCTAACAACACTATGATTACCTGGATCATCCTGTTTAACTTTCTTAAAAGTTGGCACAATGTTAGCTTTCTTCCAGTCTTCTAGAACTTCCCCAGTGCTCCAAACTGTATTGAAGAACATCATTAATGGTCCATCAAGCTCCTCAGCCATCTCTTTTAAAATTGTTGAATACAAGTTACCTGGATCTGCTAAATTTAAAATGTCTCACATTGGTAGCTCCTGTTTAACAACCTCCAGATGTACTAGTGGAATGGAAAGTGTTATCACCGAACCTGTTTTTCCCTCAAATACATGACAAATATTAATTGAACAATCCTGCCTTTTCTTTATTATTACTATTTCCATCTAGTAATGGAACAATACCATTGTCAGGATTCTTTGTTCCTAAAATATTTTTACAACTCTGTCCTTAACACTGCTGACTTTAGATTTCTCCTTGTGTCCCTTGACTTCCCTTTATCAATTTTCTACAATTCCTAATTTCTGTGTTAGATGAATTACTATCAACTTCCCCTTTCTTCTATTTCTTATATTATTTTTTACACCTTCCTTCATTTCCCCCCTCAATCAGGTCAGATTTTTTACCCAGTATAACCTTATTACTCTGTGGTTTTCTAGTGGCATCTAGTAAAGCGATTTTAAATTATTCCCAACAATCATTCACATTTTTCAGATTAAATTCTTCCTCCTAGCTGAGTTGGCTCATAATTGTGTTCAATTTTGTGAAATCAGTACCAACTATATATATTCATGGTCTGGCCTTCATTCTGCTTCCATATTCTAAATGGGATCAAGTCATGATCACTCCTACTATTTTTTAGTTCTGTGATCACTTCCTCTTTTTTCTATTACAACAAGATCTAATAAATTCCCCTCTGTAGGCCTGCAGCACTTTTTGAGTTGGGAAATTGGAATTTCTGAATATTATAAAGACAGTTTTTAATACTGGCAGTATGTGTCACTCAAATTGAGTTCTCCTATGATCAGTGGGTTTTTTCCTCTATGGATCATAAGGAGGCAGTCATCCTATTCCCTACTGTGATTTGGTGGTCTGTAGCAGATGCCAACTGATACCTCACTTGTTCTATATATGTTAGGATATTTGTTTGAGCATTCAGGATCATTTTTGTCCGTGTTAAGAGTGATTTGGAAACAGGTAATACCATTTTCAACATAGGGTGCTCTCCCCTCTCTCTTGCTCACTCCTCCTTGAATAGATTCTAACCATTCCTTTAACGTTCCAGTCATACGAATTTCTGTGGTTGTATTCTTTCAATCACTTTAATGAAGCTGGTCTAAAAATTGAGAGCTTTAATAGGTAAATAGGGGAGTGAGGTCAGGGTTTTAGCTTGACCAGCTAATATCCAAATATCTGGCAGATTTTCAGGATGGATTTTACTGGTATTCATGTAGTCAACCACATTTTTACAAATTAAAAAACAAAGGCTGGGATGACTCCCAGCTAACAAAAGAAAAATTAGACAAAACTAGAAAAAGGAAAAAAATATGTAAAGACTAGAAGATTTACCTGGCATTGCTGGGCTCCTTCAGGGCAGAAGGCTGGGGGTGTAGGGTTGTGTGCAGGAGTCAGGCCAGGGGCTTGGGGATGTGGAGGGCTCAGATGTGGGGTGGTGATGCAGGAATCAGAGGAGGAGAGGGAGGAGGTGTGGGGGGGGGAAATGCAGGACTCAGGGTTGGAGACTGAGGAAGGACTTGGGGGAGGGGGTGTGTGGTAGGAACTGGTAACTTCCCAGTCTGGCTGGCAGGAAGCTTTCTGCCACTCCTGCTGGCCCAGTGGAGTTACAGCTATCTGTCCCCATCTCTGGTCCCTTGCTGTACCCCCCACACCCTGTGGTCATTACACAGTTTAACTGTCTCTGCTAGTAGTCCTCTCCCTTTCCATGTTATGAAAACGTCACATTCCAGGCACATCCCATTGTCCTGGCACAACCAAGCCTTCCTCTTGCTTGATAAGAGGAAGCTGCATACCAAATGTGCTGATCCTAGTGCTAATCATTTAACAGGAATTCTTGAACAACTGGACAGATTGACTCACCTGGTCAATGACAAACATTCTCAAATGTATAGTAGATAATAGATGGTCTGTGTAAATTATAGATTCTTGAGAAATAGGAGGGGAAACTGCAGTCAGGCAATGTTGCTGATGTAGTGCTGCTTACTAACTCTTTTTCACATGCAAGTAAATTGGTCAAAGCCTAGTATAGCCTATGTGTTGATCTTGTGACTTGGTTCCCTAGAAGTGATCATTCTTGGAATTCTAGAACTTAAGTATTTTGTGTTTGTATTCAGGGAGAATTCTGAGATCCACCAAAAATATCAGTGCACTTCTGAGAGAGCTGTCAGGGCCATATCCAGGTGAAAGGGTCTTGAGATGGCATTATGCCAGCAGTTTATGGAAAGATTAGCACAAAATAGATGTGAACATCTTAGACTCAGTTGTCACTGTGTTTCTTGCAAACAGGACAAATTAGTAATCTTCCCCTTAGGAAGTAGAGGGTTATATTAAATAGTTTCTTTTTGGAAATGTTCATCTTGGTAGAAAGTTACTTTAAAGCTTATGAGAATAAACACACTGGAGAAATAAACTTTTAAGGTCTATATTCCCATATACCTGATTTCTCCCACAAAGTATGTAAAAGGCATGTACAAAAGGAACTAGAAGGCATGATTGTATTCACTAGTTAGCAATGAGACTAGATATGAAATTGACCTTTCTGTTTCCATTGAAATGTCACTCCTTCTAGTTACCATTATTCTCACTTACACATATTAAGAGCAAAGTGGGAGTAAACCCATTTTTTGGAAATCAAGGCACAACTTGGTGTAAACTCTTGTTGGAGGCAATCTAAAGCAATGATTCTCAAACTGAGTGGGAACCCCGAAGTGAGTCTTGACCTCATTTTAATGTGATCACCAGGGCTAGCGTAGATTTGCTGGGACCTGGGACTGAAGTCAGCTGAAGCCTCACAACCCAAGGCCAAAGCCTGAGGGTTTCGGCTCTGTGTATTGGGACACAGGTTACGGTCATCCCCCTCCTCCCCTCTCCCCCCATATGGGTCTGAATCCTTTGAGCTTCAGGATTGCTAACCCCTTTACCTCCGTCCTACCTCCATGCCTGCTTAAGGCAGTGGGGCTTGGGTGGGCTCAGGCTTCATTCTGCTTAATGGAGTTAATAGGATATGAATTACTTGATTATCTGTTCTGTTCATTCCCTGGGGGCACCTAGAATTGACCACTGTCAAAAGACATGATACTATGTTAGAGAGACCTTAGTCTGACCCAGTAGGACTATTATCTTCTTCAGTAGTAATTTTTGTCAGAAAGGGGTTACAGTGCAATGAGGTTTGAGAACCCCTGATCTAGAGAGATGAGTTAAGTTGGAATAAGTGGTTATGGGGCTGTAGTCTGTGCTGTTTCTAGTACTTCTCTAGTGTGAAGATACTAAAAATGAGAGAAACCTATAAAGTCACTTGGTCTATCTAATCCTTCCCAGATCTTCTCTTCATTGACTTCTATAGCTTTAAATCAAGGTTGTCTGCTACCATCCCATCGAAATGATTCCATAGTCTAATAGAGCTCACCATTAGAGAACCTTTTACTGATTGACAGTCTTTGATTAATTTTATCCTTCTTCTCTGTTTAACCCCTCAGTCCAACCTAAGGAAATATCTCTTACAGGTGTTTACATTCTTCATATACTTTTTAGATGGTTATATTGCCATTTTGGCATCTTTGAAGTAATCTGATCAGATTAATTCAGACTTCCAGGACAGTTAAGAATATTTGCATAGCTTCATAGTCAATTATTGTGAAAGCTTTTATTATAGTTTCCAATGATGGGAGGTGCTATTTTAGTCAAGTGCTTTACATTTTGATATACTGATTTACTGTCATCGTAAATAATTATCAGAGGCACCTAAACGCCTCCTTATTATTCTACAAATTAAAACATTATTAATTATTCTGGCAGGTGAGTAAGGGAGACAGCAAAAATGCCAAAAAGAAGAATAATAAGAAGACAAGTAAAAACAAGAGCAGCTTGAGTCGTGGCAATAAGAAGAAGCCTGGCATGCCCAATGTTTCCAACGATCTTTCCCAGAAGCTGTATGCCACTATGGAGAAGCATAAAGAGGTAAAATCTGATGCATTGAGAAATACCTACTTGGTTTGAGTAGCCAAGTGCACAACACTTTAATATAGAATTTAACAAGAAAGTATGTATTTGTAGATGGAATCCCCATTTAGACTTTCTCATCGGGGCTGTGGAAATAAATACTGTTCAGGGCTGCGCCATGTAGAGAACTTCCATAAGTAAAAGTCTTTGTTGTGCCAGATTGGACACATGGTCCATTTAGTCCAGTGGTCAGTATTGGCATCAGAGGAAAAGTAGGGGGAGGAGACATGGTGCACTTGGAGAATTGTACAGTGTTTTGTTAATCTGCAAAAGTGGAAAATTCTTCATGACCTATCTAGGTAGGTTGATACGAAGCCATCCCACCCATCACAGCATGCTAGAGTCAGTGGTCCTAGAATGGCATGTGCTGTGTAGTTAAGGTTGGTGCCCTCTTGGTGAGTGGCTGATTTTAACTTATACTTTACTTTTCAGGTCTTCTTTGTGATCCGTCTCATTGCTGGCCCTGCAGCGAACTCCCTGCCTCCCATTGTTGAGCCTGACCCACTCATTCCATGTGACTTGATGGATGGGCGTGATGCCTTCCTCACCCTTGCTAGAGACAAGCACCTAGAGTTCTCTTCACTACGAAGAGCTCAGTGGTCAACTATGTGCATGCTGGTGGAGCTGCATACCCAGAGCCAGGACCGCTTTGTTTACACCTGCAATGAGTGCAAGCATCATGTAGAAACCCGATGGCATTGCACTGTCTGTGAGGTATTCCTGATAAGATTTTTTTCCCCCCGCTAACTCTGGGCACTGAGGTTAAGGAAACTACCTGAAGTCACTTCTAAGCCTATATTCAAAGCAATGTTTGTCCAGCTTAAACTGGTAATTTGGAGTGATGGGAACCTCCCTTGCCTCCCAAACAGGCACTGATAGATATCTGCTGCTCAGTGCTATTGCATTTTGACAGGGCCTTAACCCTGAGAGGTTGGTATTTCCCAGTGTGAAACTGTAGAAAACAACTTCAGCAGAATTACACTAATGTAGGTGACTGAAGATGATTCTGCTTATGGGGTTGAACGGGGAATATGGTCTGTACTTTGAGTCTGAAAGGATGACAGTTTGCTCCTTGTGTAGTTTTTTTAAGTGGGGAGGGGGAGGAGGGTTCTCTCTCTGAAATGTCTCCTGAGGTTTTTAAAGAACATGAGGCAAGTGGGATTGTTGTATGTCTGTAATGGGAGTATTCTCCAATGATTACTGTTATGGAGAACTGCCAGGCTTTATTTTAGTTGCTATATACTTGGAAAATGGCTTAAATGCAAACACACCTCCTGTTTTTTAATCTTTTCATTTACTGAAGTAACATGTGAATGATCCTCCCACTCTACCACTGCTGTTCTGTTTCCAATTCATCTGATGAGGTGGATTTTACACAGGAAAGCTTATGATTCTGTATATTTTGGTTGATCTCTAAGGTGCCACAGGACTACTAGTTGTTTTTAAAGTTACAGACTAACTGGGCTATCCCTCTGAGATTTGCAAAACAAAGGGATTACTTAATACAATGACTTGAAATGGACTTGAGAAATGTCCTTAGTCCTCAGACAAGTAGATATTATGTGTGCTGCCCTGAGTGAAAAGTAACTTGTGTGTGCTGCCAAGGCCACAACCACCTTAACCATGCCTATTTAATTCTTCATGGATCCATCAGTAAATTAACTGTGCCCTAGGGATGTAAGTGATAAGCAAAACCTTATTAGATAGTCAACTAGTCCCTTGGCTAGTCACTTCTGAGGCAACAAGGGTCGGGGAGCAGAAGCTGGTGCTGTGAGGAGCCAGTTTAACAGCCGTTTTCCCCAAGCACTGTTTCTGCAGGGGACAGGTGCAATCTGGGAATCAGTTGGCCTGGCTCATGCCAGATCCCCCAGCTGCGCTTCATCCTTTTAAATGTATTTAAGAGCTGGCAGGTCACCACTGTGCTCCAGCCTGTTTACATTTAAGGCTGGTGTGCAGTTGGGGAACTGAGCACACTCTTAATGTTTAAAAGGCAGAACCACAGTGGGATTAGCTCCTGGGCTGGGAGCTAACCCTGCTGCGGCTCCCCCACAAATCCACTAGGCAATGGAAAATCCATCAACTAGTTGATTAGATTAAATTTAACATCCCTACTGTGCCCTAAATTTATTTCTGAAAATCTGTAACTAAAATTTGATGTTCTGCCTCCCACATACACCTAAGTAAACAAATTCTGGGTTCTCCTCTATTTAGTGAATCCTGGGAGCTTTCTTCACTGATTCTGGGAATGCCAGGTTCTTTACCATTTGTCAGGATTTCTGCCCTCAATATATCAGTCTCGTTTACCTCCCATCTGTTCTCCATGTGGCCCTTCTACTTAAAGAAGTGGCACTCTTATTCCGTACTCCTCTTTTGAAGCTCCTTCGGGGTTCAATTTAGTGGGTCTAGTAAAGACCCACTAAATTGAACATTGAGGGTGCCCTGGTCGGTGTGGGTACTCCCTCGCTATTGTGAGGAGTAAGGAAAGTAGATGAGATCATTTCTCCCATCAGCCTCCTGCTGTAAGGTACAATTTGCATTGATTTTCTCCACCGGAGTAGACCTGGCCCAAGCAGATCAGTTGCTACTCTGTCCTGAAATCCATGCATCCAGTCTCACTTAGGTAAAAATTTTGCTGGCTCAGAGCAAAACAGATATTCCAAGTCCTTAATATTGGTCTGCATAAATGTCAGATATTGTTTTGCCCACGCACTGTTCACTGTTAGTTTGGACTTCTATAAGTACTTGGGCACAGAGGTCATTATAAATGACCTAGAAGGACAATATAAAATCATTAGTGATACTTTTCAGATAATCCAAAGACTGGGAGAGTGGTAAATAATGGCCAGCATAGGTCACTGGTCATAGGGGATTTTATCTTGGGAATCAATCACTCTGAAAAATAGTTGAACATGGTGAATAATCACCTGAACATCAGCTCCTAGTGCAACAAGTTGTCAAGAGTTAGTTTCAGAGGGGTAGCAATGTTAGGAGTCCTGTAGCATCTTAAAGACTAACATCTTCATTTGGGCATAAGCTTTCATGGGCTAGAGCTCACTTTGATAGTTGCATGATCCAAGGATGAATAAATAGAAGTATCAGATAGGAGCACTGTTTTATTCACTTGGTACTGGTGGAGCTGCTGAATTACTGTATTCAGTTCTACTATCCACTGTTCAAGAAGGCTAGTGATAAATTGGAGAGAGTTCAAAGAGAAACCGCAAAATGAGTAAAAGATAAGAAAACATGCTAATAAGCAGCTCTGCCTGTTTAGCTTAGGAAAGAGATGTTTATAAGTAGAGCAACGTAGAAAACAAACATGATGAGGGTCCTTCAGTCTAGCATGCAAAAGTTTAATGAGATCTAGTGCCTGGAAGTTGAAACTAGACAAAGCTATATTAGAAATAAGATGCAAATTTAAGTGATAATTAACAATTGGAACAATTTAGCATGAGTTGTGTTGGATCCTCTTGTGTTACACAAGAGAGTCAGATTAGATTATCAGTGATTATCCCCTCTGGCTTTATAATCAACAAAAAGGCAAATTTACCACCGCAGTCCATCTGGGACAGTTGGGATCCCTTGCTAGTTATGACTTTATTCGTATGCCAGTTAAAGTAGACAGCTGTTTAATTTTCAAAATGTTTGTCACTTTTCAGGATTATGACCTGTGCATCACCTGTTACAACACTAAAAACCATGATCACAAGATGGAGAAACTGGGCCTTGGGCTAGATGATGAGAGCAACAACCAGCAGACAGCAACCACCCAGAGCCCTGGTGACTCCCGCCGCCTGAGCATCCAGCGCTGTATCCAGTCCCTTGTCCATGCCTGCCAGTGTCGTAATGCCAACTGTTCACTGCCATCCTGTCAGAAGATGAAGCGGGTTGTCCAGCACACCAAAGGCTGCAAGCGCAAGACCAATGGAGGGTGCCCTATTTGCAAACAACTCATTGCTCTTTGCTGCTACCATGCAAAGCACTGCCAGGAGAACAAGTGCCCAGTGCCCTTTTGTCTCAACATTAAACACAAGCTTCGCCAACAGCAACTTCAGCACCGTCTGCAGCAGGCCCAGATGCTCCGAAGGAGGATGGCGAGCATGCAGAGGACGGGCGTGGTAGGTCAGCAGCAAGGATTGCCTTCACCGACACCAGCCACACCAACAACTCCAACGGGCCAGCAGCCGCCAACACCACAGACCCCACAACCTCAGCCACCCCCACAGCCTGCCTCGCAACCCCAACCTGCACCTCCCAATACCATGCCGCCCTACACCATGCCGAGAACTCAACCCCCTGGTGCTGTGTCCCAGGGCAAAGCAGGTGGCCAAGTAACACCTCCAACTCCACCTCAGACTGCTCAGCCACCAGTCCAGGCCAGCAGCCGCCAACACCACAGACCCCACAACCTCAGCCACCCCCACAGCCTGCCTCGCAACCCCAACCTGCACCTCCCAATACCATGCCGCCCTACACCATGCCGAGAACTCAACCCCCTGGTGCTGTGTCCCAGGGCAAAGCAGGTGGCCAAGTAACACCTCCAACTCCACCTCAGACTGCTCAGCCACCAGTCCAGGGTCCTCCTCCAGCTGCAGTAGAAATGGCCATGCAGATCCAGCGGGCAGCAGAGACTCAGCGTCAGATGGCACAAGTTCAGATTTTCCAAAGGCCAATTCAGCATCAGATGCCCCAGCTGAATCCGATGCCACCAATGGGGATGAACCCTCCTCAAATGGCCAGAGGGCCTGGTGGTCACATAGATCAAGGGATGGGGCCCGCAGGAATCCAGCAGCAGCCACCATGGGCCCAGAGTGGGTTACCTCAACCACAGCAGCTCCAGCCAGGAATGCAGAGATCATCCATGATGTCAGTAGCCCAGCCAGGGCAGCCTATGAACATGGCACCTCAGCCAGGAATGGGCCAGGTTCCTGGGGCAGCTCAGCCAAAACAAGGATCTCTGCCCCAGGCAGCCTTACAAAACTTACTGCGGACTCTCAGGTCTCCCAGCTCTCCCATGCAGCAGCAGCAGGTGCTTAACATCCTCCACTCCAACCCTCAACTACTGGCTGCTTTCATCAAGCAGAGGGCCGCTAAGTATGCAGTGTCTCAGAATCCACAAGGTATGCCAGGGCAGCCGGGAATGCCACAGGGGCAGCCAGGACTTCAGGCACAGCCAGCCATGCAAGGGCAGCAAGGAGGGGTGCATCCAAACCCAGCCATTCAAAATATGAGCCCCATGCAAGCCGGGGTCCAAAGGCCCAGCATTCCCCAGCAGGCACAGCAGCAACAGCCTCAGCAGGCCATGGGTGGGATGAATCCTCAGGCACAGCCAATGAACATGAATCACTCTGGGATGTCGCCGCAGTTCCGGGATCTTTTAATGAGACGGCAGCAGATGATTGAGCAGCAGCAGCGCCATCAGCAGCAGCAACAGCAGCAGCAAGGAGCAGGACCAGGGTTGGGGCCTGGGATGGCCAACCATAATCAGTTTCAGCAGCCCCAGGGTGTCGGTTATCCCCAACAGCAGCAGCAGCAGCAACAGCAGCAACAGCAAAGGATGCAGCATCATATGCAACAGATGCAGCAAGGAACTATGGGACAAATGAGCCAGCTTCCACAGGCAATGAGTGCAGAGACAGGAGCCAGTTTGCAGCAGGCTTTCCAGCAGAGGCTACTTCAGCAGCAAATGGGATCCCCAGCTCAGCCCAATCCTATGAGCCCCCAACAGCACATGCTCCCCAGTCAAGCTCAGTCCCCACATTTACAGGGCCAGCAGATCCCTTCATCACTCACCAATCAAGTGCGTTCTCCACAGCCTGTACCCTCACCACGACCCCAGTCCCAGCCCCCCCATTCCAGCCCTTCCCCTCGGATGCAACCTCAACCTTCTCCACACCATGTCTCTCCTCAGACCAGCTCCCCACATCCAGGACTGGTAGCTGCCCAGGCAAACCCCATGGATCAGGGGCATTTTGCCAGCCCGGACCAGAGTGCAATGCTTTCTCAGCTTGCTGGCAACCCAGGCATGGCAGGCCTCCATGGTACAAGCGCCACGGAACTGGGGCTCAGCTCCGATAACTCAGACTTGAATTCAAATCTTTCACAGAGTACACTAGACATACACTAGACACATTGTAGCATTTTGGGAGCAAAAAAAAAAAACTTATTTTCTCAAGACTTTTTGTACTGAAGACAAATTTTTTTGAATCTTTCTTAGCTAAAACAACATTTTTCCCTGGAACACATCCGAACTCTACAACAGTAGTTTGTGGTTTTAAAAACAAGAAACCAACACAATGAACCTGAGGGACAATAGAATACAAAGAATATATTTTTGTTATGGCTGGAATCATAACCAGTCTTTTCTTGTTTTTCCTCGCATGTGTGCGTTGGGAGGTGGAGGGAGAAGGGGTGATCTTTTGGTTGCTGACCAAATAGCCCCTTTCTCATGACTCCAATAGGTTTTATTTTTTTTTAAATTAATGAAAATATGTAATATTGATAGTTATTATTTACTGAGGCAAATGGTTAACATTTTCCCTATTCTGGTTTTTCCTCACATCACTGCAAAAAACCCACAAGAGAACATTTCTTAAAACCGGAGGACAAAAGGGGTTAATGTTGCTTTAAAAATACATTACATATATATATATAAATATATATTAAAAATAAATACCAGTTTTTTCCTCTTTGGTTGGAGAGATGTCAATTCTTTGAAAAAATGTAAAAATATTAAATAACCCAATCCCTTCCTGAAGTCTACTTTTGTCCTCCAAGAATTTTCTATACAAGAGTCTGAGCTTAAAAAATCTTCAAGTATTAAAATAATTTGTACATGTAGAGAAGACAACATTTTTGCAAATACACAGGGGCAGCTGCCAAATGGATGTAGTATATATATTGTGGTTTCTGTTTTCTTGAAAGAATTTTTGTTATTTTTACATCTAACAAAGGAAAAAATAAAAAAGAGGGTAAGAAACAATTCCAAGAGGATGATTTTAACCTGAGAAGTCCCTGGGGTTTCTTCTTTACACTTGCTTTCTCTCTCTCTCTCTCTCTCTCTCTCTTTCTCTCTCCCCCCTTCCCTATCCTCTTCCATTTTCTGTAAAACTTGAAAATAGAAAGCAAAAAACCCTCAAATGTTGTAAATCATGCAATTAAAGTTGATTACTTATAAATATGAACTTTCGATCACTGTATAGACTGTTAAAATTGATTTCTTATTACCTATTGTTAAATAAACTGTGTGAGACAGACACAGCCTGCTTTTTACTGCTTCCCTTCTCCCACCTGTGGTGCTTGTTTTTAAAATAGTAAGAACAGCCAGAGTAAATGCTGCTTAAACTTTAGTGGTCAAATTGGAGAATTATTAATGTACATTTGTTTTGCCAGTGCTTTTTTTTAAAAAGCAAACTTAAAATATGGGCAGGTTATAATTAGTATTAGAAATGCACATTTAAATAAGACAGTAATTGCATTTGTTCACTTATAATTTATCCAAAAAAAAGGTATGGTCCCCAGCCTTACGCAACTACCATGCCAGCCCATGTGTGTTTGACTAGGTTAGCATCTTGATTTCCAAGGGCTACTCCTTAATATGAAACTGAAACTTCTGCTTGAGTGATATAAAATTGAAAGGCCACATCCCTGTTGGAATACCTTGTAGAGCTTTTTGTGCCAACATAGTGACCTTCTACACTTGGAGCTGTGTGACATTCTCAGCTTGTGTAGATGTAGCCGTGCTGCTCTACATCTCAATCTAGTGCACTCAAAAGAGCAGTATACCAAGGTAGCACAGATGCAGCTTAGACTGGCTGCCTAGGTGACATAGGGGATCTTCAGGAGGAGTTTTCAGGACAGTTAGTCAGAACTGCTTCCTGTTCTGTCCCGGCAATGCTATTTTAATCATGCTAGCTTGAGTACAGATATGTGAATTGAGCATCACAGACCCAGCTTCAAGTGTAGATGTAGCCTCTGGGTCAAACTGGAGGAATAAGTGCTGTGGGTACTGAGTTTAGAGAAAACTGAAGACTAACATTGTTTGCAACAAGCTGTGGGGAAGGCAGGGGAATAGGACAGCTACTCGGAAGTATTTTAAAGGTCTAAACACCATGAGGGAAGAGAAATAATGTAGAAAGAAAGGAGTATAACTTGTACTGAAAGAGAAAAATTAGAGATTAATGTCAGTGGGGAGCCCTCATTAGGATCCATGAAAAGAACTCTAGTGGGAAGCTTGGCATTCTTTCAAGTATTGTTAGTACAGCTCACCACCCCTGAACTGTATCCACACACCCCATAACAAGTCCAGAATTTGCCTGCCTGCTAATGCTCATTTTCTGTAGTGCCATGGAAAGGTGCAGAGCAGTTTTGAAGCAGCTGTAGCCACTTATAGAATACACATAACACAGCAGCAATTTGACTATAGCCACATACAGAATACACATAACACAGCAGCAATTTGAAACTCTTCCTCATCCTTCATCCTCAAACCACAAGGTCCAGTTTGCTTCCCCCTCTAGCTAAGCTTTGTTCCACTGTAAATTTATATTTCTTTGCTACGGATATTGATTCCAGGAACTATTTTGCATGATCCCAACCTTCTTCCAAGGATGAGGCCTCTGGCAAAATGTTAAGGAATGCTGTTTTTCTAACTTTTAACTTTCCAGTCAGTCCCATGGACCCACTGCTGTTAGAGGCTTGAGTGAAGGCTGTTTTCTTAGCTAGTGTTAACTCTACCCTAAACTTGCACCCTATTTAGGCAATGATCAGCTGTCTCTAATCTGAGCCATGCTGAAGGAGGTGGCCCCAAGAGCTTAATGGATTTAGAGTTGTTGACCATCTTTGGCTCTCCTTCAAAAATCCCAACCTCATGTTGTTGTCATGGATCTACAAGGTCTGGTGTCTGCCCCAGCAAGTCACTAGCCCTTGGGGCCAAAAGTGTATCTTCCAAGGATCCACACAGTTCCAGAGGGAAAGACCCGTAGCCTCCATGACTCCAAACCTGGGTTTTGGGGCTAGTAATCTTTTTCTGCATGGTTTCCTTCAATACGTCCTGCTGAGCTAAGCTCCTGTGGGAGACCTGTTCTTTATCCCAGAGGATGCAGTGCTTTGCAAAATATTTGGAGCAACACCAAACATTCTTTTCAAGCAAAGCTTACAACTTTTAGATCCATGGCATGCAGCATCTGAGAGCCCATAGGTCAGTATCAAGAAGCAAAGAGTGTCAGAGTTCCGTGAGTGATGCTGTAGGCACCACCTCTGCTTCCTTTCTCTCCCATGCATAAGAAAATTCTGTAAGAGCAGCACACACAGAAATAGACCTGTATCCCCATCTGTCCTGGGTTCTATGCAGTGGGACAATAGGCCACTCACTATAATCCCTTCAAAGTTAATTTCTGAGTGATTGCAGCAGATCGTTCTGCAGGGGCAGCAGTTTGTCCATGCTCACCTCACAGCATTTTGAAAGAAGCCGTTTAACATTCCACCTCTGTGTTCCCAATACCCTAGAGAGGCTTCTTCATCCTAAACAAACTGCTGCTCTGTTTGAATCTCAAGGAAAATGTTCTGTCCCTGCCTCAAAGCCTGCATGCATTCCATGTGGTGACAGCACTGGTCAGGAGAGTGTCCGTGCTTCCAGGTGTAGTGACTGGCTCTGCTCATTGAGTGTTTCCCAGAGCTGATAATGGTGCTGCAGCCACCTGCTGAAAGTGTCCTCAAAGCTTCAGTCTGAGAGGTTATGTTGGCTAAGATACTGGGGGGGGGGGTGTCCTTTTAGCTGTTAACTTTTTGAGACAAAATCCATTTACTCTTAGTTAATTTGTGAATTAGTCATGTGCAGAGATCCCAGGAGAGGGGATCTGTATGGGTGGTCTACAGGAGCCTCTCTATTACTTCTCCAACAAACTCCCTGCTATTCATCAGTTGCTGGGAAGAACAAGGGGAGGGTTCTGATGGCATTAGACCTTTGCTGATTGATTGCAGGGGAAGGATGGGGAAGGATTTTCATAGTCCTGGGATTGCTGTAGTTTCATTTAAAAGTGAGATGAGTTTGGTGTTACCTGTCTTCATAAAACATGCCACACTGGTTGTCCCCCAAAAAAGAATCAGCAACTCCAGGAACACATCCAGACAAACTCTCAATATGCTTAAATGACCAGAGCTTCAGCTGTGCTGTTCATTAACTTCCTATACAGCTGGAGCCCTTGTCCATTGTCCTCCCTGCTTTCTATTTGTTCCAGAGGAGGAGTTACACATCATTAGTTTAGAACTAAAGCTGTTTGTCAATAAGCCATTTATATAATAAATTAATAGGAATCCAATGTCCTCTTCAGAACCGTTTTTTTACATTTGTAAAATGCCTCAGTGCAAATCTATAATCACTGGTGTTGACTGTGCCATAAACTAACCCTAGTCAGAGTAACCCTACAGTATACTCAGTAACACTAACATTGCTGAGTTCTCTACCACTTAGGAACCTCTGGTTTGTAATTGAGACTGCCAGGAGGACACATTTGCAATTGGCTGTGCTTTGCTACTCACTTTACTAGTCATCTGTTGGTACTAGCTGGAATAATAGCTGGCAGTTAAGTCAAGTGCCTATGAGGTACAGTGGGTCATCTTGCATGCTGACTACTCTCACTGAATTTGGTTTTGTTTGGAGTCAATATTGTAAGAATGTTAATCTTTTTCAAGAAGCAGATTTTAACTGACTTCAGAGTTATAAGGTGCTTCTACCACTGGCTTTCAATTCTGGCAATGCAAGTGATGTGTAGCATTGGCTGGTTCTTTGGGGGGGAGGGGCGGAGATATTTGGCATTGACAAAAACCAAAATAAGGGGGCTTTAACACATGTATCTCCCTTTACAGACGATACATGTTTGTTTCCCATATAATGTACAAGTGGGAAGGCCCTTGTAGAAAGGGCCAAGATGACATTTGCAAAAAATCTTGCATCTTCTGTCAACTTCATAAATACTGTTTCAAGGCCACAAGGAACCACATGATCATCTGCCTAACTTCCTGTATATCACAGCTTAGAGGATTTCACCCAGCACTTCTTGTAGCCCACCCAATAACTTCTCTCTGAGGTGGAGAATAGCAATAGAGCACACATACTAGTCTGGAGTTAAAGTGCTTTCATTGCACATTATACAACAAAGACCTCACGGGGGCTGCTAATCCCTAAAGAAGGGATTCATGGGATTTATTTAGTTTTTTACCTTTGCAATTTGGAAGAGCAGGTGCCATTTTTCTGGAAGGATATTGTGCCCAAATGAAGCTCTTATATTATGTTAGCAGCTAGAAGTTCCCAGCCTGGAGTGGAGGATTAGGACTGGATGTCGTATTTTTAATGTCTGTCCCAACAAGCTTCCAACCTTGGCATATGAGGAGACAACTGGTATATTCAACAGATTAATGAAGAGATTGATAAGGTGACAGTGAAGAGACCTCATTTACTATAATAAATGGCATGGAGTGCTGGAGGAGAGGGGTCTGGGCTCACTTTTTTTCAATTTATCATTAAAATGCCTAACAAATGCCAGCACACCTTGGATTAAGGGCTGGGAAATAGAGGTGGTGCTTCGGAAAAGCCAGAAGCTTATTTCTCAAATCTGTTTTTTTAAAGGCAATGTTAGAATAGCTGATGTTTGAGGCAGTAGTGGAGGAGGAGCAATTGCCAGCCAAACACCCCTTTTCTTTCTTTGGTAAATTTCCTTTTTAAGACACACACAGGGAGGTATTGCTATGACTCTCCACTTCAGCCCAATATGGTGAAGAAGATACAGGCACCAACCTTGGAGTGAGAGGTACAGCTGTAGTCAGGGTGAAGAGACCCATCAGTTGCCTAAGGTGCTTGGCTGGGTGTGTGGGGGGGACTGTTCAGTGACTGAAAGGGAAAATAGAATGTTTGAAATAAAATGTTTCAGGTATTCTGCATGGGGAGTCATTTTTCACTAACTGCCTAGTGTGTTCTGGACCTTTGTAGAAGCACATGGAACCTTCCAGACAGTGGTTTCCTGGCACTGCCTAAATGGCCTCAGCCATGCCCTCATACATAGATAAGGGGCATGGTGTCACCTATCAGTGAACTGTGAAAGTGAAGTGAGAGCACAGCTGCACTATTGTGAGCCTTGTGTAACGGGGGGTATACTTGTTTTAAGACCTGAAGCATGTAAGCAGTGACTGACAGACTAGCACATGCCACTTGTGCATCAAAGCCATGAAATGGGTTATAAATGCAATAAACACGCACAAAGG